ATTCAGGAAATGGCTCCCGCTCACATCTCCTCCCTTCTGGAAGGAGGAGAGGCTTTCTGTGACCTCAGCAGCCTTAACCAGTTCCAGTTACCAGAATTCTTTGGAAGGGAAGCTATGACAATTAACTTTAATCCTGTGATGTAGATGTGACCTTGTTCTCTGCAGCCCTTGAGGGCACAACTGGATCTAATAGATTGATGTGGCAGGTGGTTAGTTTTGGGCTGAACATTAAGAGAAAAGTCTTAAGGGTAAGAGCAAGTGGATGATCAGAGAGGCAGGGAGTTTGGGCTTTCCATTTTTAGCAGAGACTTGACGGACGTTTGTTGGAAATGCTAAAGCACTGGGTTTTCAAGCCACCAATTTTCTGGACGGAGTTCAATGCCTTTAACCACTGCCTTGCAGGCAGAAATCCAACAGCTGAGGCTCCATGCAAAGGAAAGTTGCCCCTGTGGAACAGCTGCCTGGCCTAGACCTCTTCACAACACAACGGGGAAAGCTATTCCTCTAGTTTTCGGTAATGGCAATCCCAAATGACTAGGAAGAAACCTGGTTTTCAAATGTTGCATTTATGTATTCTGTTTTTCTTCCTTCCTGTGTTCTTACTCACCTCCCAGGGCTGCACATTATCAAGGTTATCCAGGATTTTAATCTTGCAGGTTCATATTCCATTAGTTCCTCTGGTGTTCCACATAAGCCCAATTACAAATGGGTAAGTTCCTCCTCCCCCTCCCCCTCCTCCCCCTCCCAAGCCTCATCTTGCAAGGAAAATATTGTTTTACTAATTGGCAGACATTCCCCTTCACCTCCCTCTCTTGCAAGCTTGCAAGGTGCTCTTGCATTAAACATTTGAGGGCAGGAAAGGAACTGGGGAGGGGGGGTTGAGAAATTCAGAGGGAGACATTCCTCTCACAGCACATCTGTTTAGATCCATCTTTGCCACAGGAAAACCTTTGATGGGCCGAGGAAAGGAAAACAAAATGCAATGGCTGGTTTTCTTCATCGGATAAAAAATGAGAACACAGGCAGGATTCGAAACAATGGCGCTTCTCTCTTCCTGCTTTGCATTCCTCCCTCCCCCTGGCTGCACATCAGAGAGCAAATGGTTTGTGAGTCCTGATGTGCTGAGTGCCGTAAGATGCCAGCTTCATTGGACAAAGGTGTTCAATTAGGACTAGATGTCAGGGCTGCATGTGTGGCTTGTAGCAAGAGAGATCAAAGTCCTGCAGGAACGAGAGTCGGGCTCAGAGCTGTGGAAAGGCAAGTCCAGCAATGACCAATATAAATTAGGAGCATGATCTTTCCCCAGAAGCTGCTCATCTGTGGTGAGCTCCCAAACTGCCCGGTTCTTCTCCTTTTATTTTACCCCCATACCACTCTGAAGATAGGAGACACAGGAAACTGCCTTATACTAAATCAGGCAATTAACCTAACATCAGAAGAGCCTGCTGAATCAGGTCAGTGGCTCATCTAATCTAGCATCCTGTTCTCACAGTGGCCAACCCAATGCCCATGGGAAGCCCATAGGAAGCTGTGCCAGGATCAGGCCAGAGGGCCATCTAATGCAGCCCCTGTTCCATACCCTCCAACATTTCTCCAGTGAAAATAGGGACGTCCTTTTCAATAATAATGATAATACCTGCCCATCTGACTAGGTTGTCCATCCACTCTTGGTGGCTTCCAGCATATATAAAAACATAATGAGACATTCAACATTTTTTAAAGAAAACACCCCTTCCCTCTACAGGGCTGCCTTCAGATGTCTTCTAAAGGTTGCATAGCTGTATGGTGGTACCTCGGGTTAAGAACTTAATTCATTCTGGAGGTCTGTTCTTAACCTGAAACTGTTCTTAACCTGAGGTACCACTTTAGCTAATGGGGCCTCCTGCCACCGCCGCACAATTTCTGTTCTCATCCTGAAGCAAAGTTCTTAACCCAAGGTACTATTTCTGGCTTAGCATAGTCTGTAACCTGAAGTGTATGTAACCCGAGGTACCACTGTATAGGTAAGGGACCCCTGACCTTAGGTGCAGTTGTGGACGACTCTGGGGTTACATGCTCATCTCGTTCTATAGGCCAAGGGAGCTGGCATTTGTCTGCAGACAGCTTCTGGGTCATGTGGCCAGCATGACTAAGCCGCTTCTGGCGAACCAGAGCAGCGCACGGAAATGCTGTTTACCTTCCCACTAGAGTGGTACCCATTTATCTACTTGCACTTTGACATGCTTTTGAACTGCTAGGTTGGAAGGAGCAGGGACAGAGCAATGGGAGCTCACCCCGTCGCGGGGATTCAAACTGCCAACCTTCCGATCGGAAGCCCTAGGCTCTGTGGTTTAGACCACAGTGCCACCCGTGTCCCTAATGCATAGCTGTATAGTCCTTGGCTAAGGGGTTGCATAACTCCACACCCTCCAACATTTATCCAATGAAAATAGGGACATCTCAAGTAAAAGTGGGACATTCCAAAATCAAATCAGAAACCAGGACAACCTTTGTAAATCCAGGACTGTGTCTGGAAAATAGGGATCCTTGGATGGTCTGCTATTCTCACTGCTTGCTGACCTGTGGAAAGCCCACAAGAAGAGCTGGCTGGATCAGGCCAGTGGCCCGTCCAGTCCAGCCTCCTGTTCTCACAGTGGCCAACCAGATGCCCCAATGGGAAACCAGCAAGTAGGATTTGAGCACAACGGCACTCTGGTTCCCAACTACTGGTTTTGAGAAGCATTGCTTCCTCCAGTGGCAGAGGCTGAGCACAGCCATCATGGATTGTGGCCATCGATAGCCCTCTCCTTCATGAATCTGTCTAATCCTCTTTTAAAGAGAGCCAGTGTGGTGTAGTGGTTAAGAGCGGTAGTCTCGTAATCTGGTGAACCGGGTTCGCTTCCCCGCTCCTCCACATGCAGCTGCTGGGTGACCTTGGGCTAATCACACTACTCTGAAGTCTCTCAGCCCCACTCACCTCACAGAGTGTTTGTTGTGGGGGAGGAAGGGAAAGGAGAATGTTAGCCATTTTGAGACTCCTTCGGGTAGCGATAAAGTGGGATATCCAATCCAAACTCTTCTTCTTCTTCTAAAGCCATCCAAGCTGTGACCATCACCACCTCCTTTGAGAGTGAGTTCCATAGTTTAACTATGCACTCTGTGAAGGACTGTCTCTCACCTGTCTTGAATCCTGTAACAATTAGCTTCATTGGATGTCCATGACTTCTCATGTTAGGAGCATAGGAGCCAACTCCAGGGGGCCGTGGGTTCTCGGGCACCAGCAATAATATAAATATGGGGGCTGGGCACCCACAAAGTCAATGAAAAAAAGCTGGCAGGTAGCAGCAGCCCCCGAAAGAGTCACAGCCAGCCAGCGAGGCATCCTGAGGAGGGGGCTGGTTCGGATATGGATGCAGAGTTTCTCTGCCTCCTAATCTGAGCTGCTCCTGGTGGGAAAGGGTGCATTGCTGGCTGCAGAGAGGAGGAAGAAGAGGAGCGGCTGCTGCTGCTTCTGGCAGCCACAATGCAGACAAGCAATGACACATGCACACGCCTGCATGTTGTGCATGTGACAGCACACGCATGCATGTGATGTCACACGTCCGCATGGCAGCAGCGGGCACCCACAATTCTGAGGGCAATATGGCACCCCTGGTTATGAGAGAGGGAATTGGCGCATCTTGCTCCATGCAGCCTTTTGCACTGAGTGGCTGTGCCTCTCCAGGCTGCCAGGCAGGGAACTCTCCCAGCCCTACCTTGAGACCCTGGAGCATGGGTAGGCAACCTAAGGCCCGGGGGCTGGATCCAGCCCAATCACCTTCTAAATCCAGGGAATCAGCATCTTTGGGTTATTTGTGGGACCTGCCTGGTGTTTTCACAGGAGTAATAATAATAATAATAATAATAATAATAATTTATACCCCACCCTCCCCAGCCAAGGCTGGGCTCAGGGCGGCTAACAAGCAATAATAAAAACAGGTTGAATGAATACAACTTAAAAACAAAATTAAAATACAACATTAAAATATTGAAACATTAAAATATTAAAATGTAGCCTCATGGCAGGAGGAGAAAGGAAAAGAAAAAAGAAAGAGGGGGAGGGAATCAAATGGGCTCCAAACCAAAGGCCAGGTGGAACAACTCTGTCTTACAGGCCCTGCGGAAAGAAATCAGATCCTGCAGGGCCCTGGTCTCATGAGGCAGAGTGTTCCACCAGGCTGGAGCCAATGTTGAAAAGGCCCTGGCTCTGGTTGAGGCTAATCTAACTTCCTTAGGGCCCGGGACCTCTAGGGTGTTGCTATTTATGGACCTTGAGGCTCTCCGTGGGGTAGAGTAGAATGTGTGCTTTTATTTAAAATGCATCTATGGGTTATTTGTGGGGCATAGGAATTCGTTCACCCCCCCCCAATATAGTCCGGCCCCCCAAAAAGTCTGAGGGATGGTGGACTGGCCCACGGCTGAAAAAGGTTGCTGACCCCTGCCCTGGAGACGGAACAGTGAACCTTCTGCATGGAATGCTGTGATTCTGCTGGGAGATCTTACTCTCCTGCACAGGAGCCCATCTGAAGTTGGGGACTGAGCCAAGGACCTCATGCATGCAGCGTTGTTGCTGGACGATTGAGCTACAACCGCCCCCCTAGTAAAGTGCCTCATACACTGAAAGCACTTGAGAAGGATGGTGAGATCCTGCAAACAGCTGATCTCAGATTCCTGGCATGCTCCATTCTGACTCCAACCGCATCTACAAAACCACCGCTCTGCCCCTGGACAGTGTGTGATGGGACAAGAGAAATGCTTCTCGTGTGGACAGTGAGATATTCTAGAATCCAGTTGCCTTCCTTTGAGCATAATGATTGCCAGTAATCAGGTAGGATTATATGTCAGTTCAAGGTGCTGACTGAAATTCAGTGGAAGCTATAGCTATTTCAAGCAAGCAGGAAAACACAAGATCATTATTCACTTAAGCAGATCATCATTCACTCACTTTGCATTGCAGCCCTTATTGGATTTTAATAATAGTTCGGGTCAGAATCAATCTTCTCATCCAGGCGGAACGTCACCAGGTATCTCCTAAGGACTGAAGTGTTCAAAGGCCAAGAGGAAAAGCAAAAGGCTTTAGGAGTGAAGGACTGTGTGTTGTTGAGGAAAAGGAATTTGCAGGGCTTTTTTGTTACCGTTTTCCAGGTGTACTTTCAGTGACGGCATCAGGAAGGGACTGAGCTGTGTTGATATAGAGGGAATCATAGACTCCTAGAAAGGTGGAGAAGGGATCCTGAGGGTCACCCATCGGATGTGGAATTCCAAACCCATGCCCCCAACAGATGGGTGCATTCTAACCCATGGAATCATATAACTGTAGAGTTGAAAGGGACCCCAACTCTAGGGACAAGACAGAAGTACGGTTTTGGGGGGACAGGAGACGGGCGGGCAGGTGTGGAGGACTCCCTGGTCCTGAATGGGGTAACTGTGCCCCTGAAGGACCAAGTGCGCAGCCTGGGAGTCATTCTGGACTCCCAGCTGTCCATGGAGGCACAGGTCAATTCTGTGTCCAGGGCAGCTGTCTACCAGCTCCATCTTCTACACAGGCTGAGACCCTCCCTGCCCACAGACTGTCTCACCAGAGTGGTGCATGCTCTGGTTATCTCCCGCTTGGACTACTGCAATGCGCTCTACGTGGGGCTACCTTTGAAGGTGACCCAGAAACTACAACTAATCCAGAATGCGGCAGCTAGACTAGTGACTGGGAGCGGCCGCCGAGACCATATAACACCGGTCTTGAAACACTTACATTCGCTCCCAGTACATTTCCGAGCACAATTCCAAGTGTTGGTGCTGACCTTTAAAGCCCTCAATGGCCTCGTCCCAGTATACCTAAAGGAGCATCTCCACCCCCATCATTCTGCCCAGACTCTGAGGTCCAGTGCCAAGGGCCTTCTGGCAATTCCCTCATTGTGAGAAGTGAGATTACAGGGAACCAGGCAGAAGGCCTTCTTGGTGGTGGCACCCACCCTGTGGAACGCCCTCCCACCAGATGTCAAAGAGAAAAACAACTACCAGACTTCTAGAAGACATCTGAAGGCAGCCTTGTTTAGGGCAGCTTTTAATGTTTAATAGGTTATTGTATTTTAGTGTTCTGTTGGACGCTGCCCAGGGTGGCTGGGGAAACCCAGCCAGATGGGCGGGGTATAAATAAATTATTATTATTATTATTATTATTATTATTATTAGTCCAACCCGTTGCAATATAGGAATCCCCACTAAAGATCCCTGACAGATTGCCACCCACCCACCCCATGCCCCCATTGGCTGCACCCTGACTGCATGGCTCTTTCACTTTGCCAAATTATGACGCCATCTTTGAATGGCTGGCACTGTCAACTTGTTACCCGTGGAAGCGAGTTATGTGGAACCAGTTGCCTATGCATGCCTTGTTTAAAGGGATAAAATAAACAAAAGATGCCCTTCTCCTCCCTCTCTCTTGCTCCAGCTTGAGGACAGGGAGAATTGCCTACTTCCTGATTGCTTTGTGATGATGACCGTATGGGGTGAAGCCAACTCAGAGGGAGGGTGAGGCTTCATGCCGTCACTCTTAAGCCTGGTGTTTGGTGGTGGGGATAACACTTGGCAGCTATCATGAGCCGGTGTGTCACAGCTGCCAGGGTGTGATGGCCTGGGACTCGGGCTCAGACTCGGCACCAGAGGAGTCTCAGTCTGCACTGGATCCTTTGCCTCAGGCATCATTTGAACCAAGTCTGGGGCCTGATCCTGAAGAGTCCCAGTCTGCACAGGTTCCCCTGCATCAAGCACCAGCTGGGCCGAGTCAGGGGCCTGAGCCTGCCCTGGCTCCAGATGTGGGGATGACCTTGTTGCCTTCAGCTGGGCCATCACTTACAGCTGCTCCATTACCGGTTGGGTCAGGGGAGGCTGAGGCGGCCTCTGGGTCTAGTAACCCACCGACGTCTCCTGAGCTGCAGAGATTGAGGTCTGAGAGAAGGAGAGACCTGAGTACTCGCAGGAGGAGTGCTTGCCTTCGGGCGAGACAGGGAGGTGAGTCACCAGGGGATCAGGACCAGCCGTTACCCCGACAGAGATAAAAGGCTGCCGGATCCTGCCCCAGGTTGCGGGAGCAACATTGCTGTATGCCAGATCCTGCCTATGACCCTGTGCCTGACCTATCCTGGTTTCCTGCCTTGTGACCTGCCTTGGCCCTGTCGGACTGACTCCTCGTGGAATCCTTGGATTTGGGACCAGACCTGGAGCGCATTGCTCAGGTTAGCCCCCAGGCCCAGCACACTGGGCTTCGGAGAAGTCATGATGGTGAAAAGGCCCTGCAAGGTGGGAGGAGGCCCTGCAAGACCCCCACCCCCACCTCCCCACCAAGAGCCCCTCGCTTTCAAATGAAAAGTTCTCTGGGCTCACCTCTCACTTTGGCAAATGTTCATAATGGAGCCATCATTTTGGGGGATGTGGAAAAATCTCAGCTTGGTACAAATGCAAAGGAAAGACCTCCTCCGTCATCCCTATACTATTTCTCTCCTTGGGGAAGAGGTGGGGCGTGGAAGAGCAAATGATGGGATGATTCAGTCATTGAATCATGAAACTGTAGAATTGAAAGGAACCCAAATCTGGTCCAACCCCAGGACCAATGCAGGAATCCCAGCCATCGCAGTCAGACAAACAAGACGGTGTAATTGGTTTCGTCATCTTTTTTTATTTTGTGTTTCCTTCCTTGTCCCTGGGAGGATTACTCTTTTGATCTTCAAGACTTCTTTATCGACCTCCATGTTCTCCATCCCTAGAGTCTGTGCACCTCTGGTGCTCTCCATCTCTTCGAGGTGCCAGCAGCCCTTGCCCATCAAGGGTTGGTGGATCTATCAACTACCCACGACCCACGGGAGTTGGCTGTTCGTCTCTGCTGATGGGATCATCATCCATGCCTTCTGCTCCATATCCTTGTGTGTTATGGTGGCTTGGCTCTGGATATCCCACAGGGCCATCTCTTCCCAATCCTTGTGTTTTGTTGTGGCTTGGCTCTGGAAATCCCACAGGGCCTTCTCTTCCCAATCCTTGCATGTTATGGTGGCTTGGCTCTGGAAATCCCACAGGGCCATCTCTTCCCAATCCTTGTGTTTTGTTGTGGCTTGGCTCTGGATATCCCACAGGGCCATCTCTTCCCAATCCTTGTGTTTTGTTGTGGCTTGGCTCTGGAAATCCCACAGGGCCTTCTCTTCCCAATCCTTGCATGTTATGGTGGCTTGGCTCTGGAAATCCCACAGGGCCTTCTCTTCCCAATCCTTGCATGTTATAGTGGCTTGGCTCTGGAAATCCTACAGGGCCTTCTCTTCCCAATCCTTGCATGTTATGGTGACTTGGCTCTGGAAATCCCACAGGGCCTTCTCTTCCCAATCCTTGCGTTTTATTGTGGCTTGGATCTGGAAATCCCACAGGGCCTTCTCTTCCCAATCCTTGCATGTTAGAATGGCTCTGCACTGGAAATCCCACTGGGCCTTCTCCAGGTGCTTGTTGCTGGCTAACACCTTCCGATGACAGTTCCACATCCTCTACAAGGACTTGATCAATGTGCTCCTCCTCTGTCTGCTGACTCTGAGATTCCAGCAGCTGGCCTGTTTTCAGGTTCACCCAACTCCCTTTCTCCACTGAGACAGCAGTGTACAATGCAGTTTCGTCCCCCACGTCTGGAGACTCTATGCTCAAGAGCATAGCCTCGCTCAGGCGACGGCTCAGGAGCTTCTCAACATCATCTGCACACTGAGATTCCCCCCCTGTAGGCTTCACTATGATAAGGCTGGCATCTCGGTCGGAATCTTGCTGACTGCCACGGTGGCTTTCCTGACCTGACGGGGCTTCTTCTCTTTCAGATTCCTCCTGATCACTCCTGGCTCCATCCGACCCACTTCCAGGAGCCCCAAAGGCTCTTCCTGAGTTGCCTCCCTTTCCCAGGAGAGATGTCCTGCTGATGGTTGGGACAGCAGTCTTACCTGTTTGCTGAAAGTGACTCACCACTAATTTCCCAGTTCTCCTGTTCATCCAGATTCCATCTTCCAGAGAAATGATGCTATAGATCTGGTCATCTCCCCTTCCATATAGTATGAGTATGGCATGCCGTTCTCCATATACAACTTAGGTTCAGAATCATCTGGCCACTGGAGAGAGCTTCTGACAAGCTTGCTGTTCGGGGGGTCCTTTACAGTGTGGAGCAGCAGTGGTCCCTTACCATCTTCATGAGAGCTTCGCCGGCTACCTTCCTTCACCACCCCTGCGCGGCCACCTTCCTTCACCACATCTGCAAGGCCACCATCCTTCACCATCTCTGCACGGCTACCTTCCTTCACCATCTCTGCACGGCTACCTTCCTTTACCATCTCTGCCTGGCCACCATCCTTCACCACCTCTGCAGGGCCAGCTTCCTTCACCACATCTGCACGGCTACCTTCCTTCACCATCTCTGCATGGCCACTTTCCTTCACCACATCTGCAAGGCCACCGTCCTTCACCATCTCTGCACGGCTACCTTCCTTCACCATCTCTGCACGGCCACCATCCTTCACCACCTCTGCAGGGCCACCTTCCTTCACCACATCTGCACGGCTACCTTCCTTCACCATCTCTGCATGGCCACTTTCCTTCACCACATCTGCAAGGCCACCGTCCTTCACCATCTCTGCACGGCTACCTTCCTTCACCATCTCTGCATGGCCACCATCCTTCACCACATCTTCACGGCCACCATCCTTCACCACCTCTGCAGGGCCAGCTTCCTTCACCATCTCTGAAAGGCCACCATCCTTCACCACCTCTACAGGGCCACCTTCCTTCACCATCTCTGCATGGCCAACTTCCTTCATTACCTCTGCACGGCTACCTTCTCTCACCGCCTCTGCACGGTTACCTTCCTTCACCATTTCTGCACCACATAGCTCATTCTGCGGTGACAATGAATGTGAACCATGGAGCAGGAAGCCTCTGGGATCTTCATTTCTGCACATAGTGCTGGCGTCCCCAGTCCTGGGCTGTTCCTGCTGATCCCTGGCAGCAGGCATGGATTCCCTGCTCGCTTTCTTCATTTTCCTCTCTGCATAGCTCTGGAGGAAACTCTCGTCGGTCTGTTGGCTGGTGCACTTCTTGACCTTCTGCCTTTTGGCTGCACAGTACTGAAGCCAACTCTTGTCCGTCTGCTGGCTCCTGTTCTTCACAACTTTGCCCGTCCTTTTGCTGATCCAGGTGCCTTGCTCAAGAGGAGGTTCTTGGGTGGCTTCATTCACCCTGCTTTGAAGACCAGCTGGCATATTAGACTCCTTCCCAACACCAACGTCCTTCCCAATGCCCTGGGGTGGCATTGGGTGACCCCTCTGGAAATCCACTGCTGTTGGTGTTCTCGGCTGTGACTCTTCCCACACAAGCTCTTGATTGGCAGGCTGGGGTATTTGGGCATCTTCTCGCAAGCTGCTACGGTGAGAAACAACTTGGGCTCCAACCAAGGCATCCCTCTGTTGACTGTGGGGCAACAATTCTTCCTTTAGACTCTCACAGCTGTCTGTCTGTTGGGCCTGCTCAGACATAAAGGTGTCCATTTTAGCATTCCTGTACAGCGTTGGCTTTTGCTCCTCCAGTTTCTGGGTATCCTGCCAGGATTTTATGGCTTCTGGAACTAGGCTGCCTCGGCGAGATTCTTGACCCATGGGCGGCCTGCTCTCTGGTCGTTGGACAGTGCGCTGTGACCCTCGTCTGGCTTGCTGTTCAGCCTCGGTCTCAGAAGACAACTCGGTTGTATCCATTTCTAAGGCATTGGGGAAAGATTCCTGACTGGAAGTATGCAGGATTTCCGAGAGAGTTTTCAGTTCCCAAACAACGCTTGTCTGTTGAGCTTTGCATTTCATTTCCTTGCCAGTCTTTGGGCTGATCCAGGATATGTCCTCGTCGAGGCAAATCCCCTTTGGGAGCAGTAGAGGTGTCTCCATGGACCGCTGGCTGTTCCTGCGAGAGTCCCTCTTTAGGCTGTTGCGCTTTGACCCCTTCCCTTCCAGCTGCTGGCTGCTGTGGCGCCCTTTGCTCCCCAAAGATTCTTGCAGTGATACTTCCTCCGAATACATCATCTCGGACTCGTCTACTGTATTCAGGGTTTCCATTGATCCCTCTCTGCTTCTGTCGGATTCGTCGCTGGAATTACTGAGGATATCGGAAAAGCTCTTCTGCTCCCATATGAGGCTCGTTTGCTGGGTTCGACACTTCATCAGCTTCCCCGTCCTTTTGCTCACCCACGTGATGTCCTTCGCATCCGACTCACTGATGGACTGTGTTCGGGAAGGGTTCAGGCTCGGTGGGGACTGCACACCAACAGATTGCTGGCTGCTCCGGCGGGACTCCTGACCAGGAAGTCGTGGGATGCTGCGGCGGGATGGCTTCCGTAGACTCGACGCACTGCTCTTGATGCTCCCGGACACATCTGGTGCCTGACTTTGGTCTTTCCTTCTGAAAATGCCCCCTTTGTTCTCTGTCTGCAGGGCTTGGTCTGGCACATCTTTGCCCAAAAGGGGTTTCTTGGTGGGTTCTTGATCCATGAAGGGGCCATTGTCCCCACCTTCCTGGTGGATGTTCACCTCGTCCTCAAGGGTGCATTTCTGCAACTCGGCAACGCTGAACGATTGCTCGCTCACTTCGCAGCTGCCCAGGACGGCTTCGTCGAGACCGGGCTCTGGATCGTCATCCATTCTGCTTCTCTGCTATGACACCTCGGTGGGGCAGATTAATGCACAGTTCCTCTGTCCGTTGAGTAGGCCTGGACCACTGGCAAACGTCTCCCAGCCCTCTCGCTCGGTGCTCTTTGTGGGGGCTAAACTCACCGCTCTTGAAACAGATGGAAAGTCCCTTTTCCCCTCACATAGGATTTCACTTCAAGGTCTCTCCTCCTCCTCCTCCTTTTCCTTTTTCTCATTGGGGCTGCAGGTGGCACGTAGGTTGTGTCATTGTCCAGAGGGGAAGATGTTGGGTGGTGGTTGCTGTTGTTTCCTTTCTACTGGCAGCCAGCTGGAATCATGGCCCTTGAGTCGTCACAGTAGCCCTTGGCACTCTGGACTTGCCCTTCCCCTGCAGTGGTCTCCTTGCTCTTCCTTCAACTGCTGTGCATTCTAGAAGCTTCCAAAGACTGTGCATCTGTGACATCACTGTGTATTCTGAAACACGGGGGGGGGGGAGGTTGAATTTGCCATGCCCCAGCTCTCCTGGGAAGAAGGTTCGCAGTGGTTTGAGGGACCCAGAAAGGAAGCTGTATAAACTGGCTCCACCCCAAGCACTCCATTCTTCCCTCTGCAATTCCCTCCCTCTGTACACAGCCTTGGCTTTGCTAGTTGTCTGCTTGGGAGCTGAGCAGGAATTTTTAGGGGCCTTCTTGGTTTTCCCCTCCTCACTCAATCCCCACATAGGCAAGTAACTTTTCTTTCGAAAACGAGCCACGGTGTTGTGAGTTGGAGGGGGCAGTGTGGATGATGCCCTGAGTGCCTTCCAATTCTTGGGGTTCTGTACCCAGTGAGGGTTAGAATAGGGCTGCCATACACCTGGAATTTCCTGCACAGAGCCAGAATATGGCAGTCGGAAGCAGAATACGGCAGTCAGAAATCACCGAACATCCAGACATGTGGCAACCCAAGTCTTGATTTTGGCAGCTTTCATTAAAAAATGGCTCAAGAATTTTGGGCAAAGCTCAATGACTTTCTCCAGAGAGGAAGTTGCTGAGCACCTCAGACAAGTTTCTTTTTAAGACAATGACCTTAGCTGGCTCCTTAAGCTTCCTCATCTGCATCCCAGAAGATTGAGCTGGGCTGCAAGAGCTGCAACTAAGTGATAGTGGCCTCCAGGGGAATGGGTGGACCTTTTCTCCTCCAACATCCCCTTACCTAGCTGCGAGTGATAGAAGAAGAAAAAGAAGAAGAAGAAGAAGAAGAAGAAGGAGGAGGAGGAGGAGGAGGAGGAGGAGGAGGAGGAGGAGGAGGAGAGCAGCCAGAGAGGTGTGTGTATGAGCTGGACTGGGAGCAGGCTGGAAGCTGGAGACACAGAGACCTGCTTGATCTGTTCTGGATCCAAAGCTGTGACTAATAGAGATCAGGAGACTCTTGAGAGTCCCATGGACTGCAAGAAGATCAAACCTCTCCATTCTGAAGGAAATCAGCCCTGAGTGCTCACTGGAAGGACAGATCGTGAAGCTGAGGCTCCAAGACTTTGGCCACCTCAGGAGAAGAGAAGACCCTGATGTTGGGAAAGATGGAGGGCACAAGGAGAAGGGGACGGCAGAGGACGAGATGGTTGGAGAGTGTTCTCGAAGCTACCAGCATGAGTTTGACCAAACTGCGAGAGGCAGTGGAAGACAGGAGTGCCTGGCGTGCTCCGGTCCAGGGGGTCACAAAGAGTCGGACACGACTAAACAACAACAACAATAGAGATCAAGATCTGTTGGGGTGTTGATGCTGTGAGCTTCGTCTTATGATCAGTGTAGGAAAGCTTTTTAACGTGCAATGTTTTATTATGTTTTTATATGTTTTGGAAGCAGCCCAGAGTGGCTGGGGCAACCCAGTCAGATGGGTGGAGTACAAATAATAAAACTGTTGTTGTTACGTACCATATTTACACGAATCTAATGCGCCTTCGAATCTAATGCGCACCTCAATTTTCAAAACCTTGAAACCAAGTAAGTATGTGCTGGCGCCATTAAATCTAATACACACCCTAATTTTCACGACATAATTTGGCCCCAAAAGGTGCGTATTACACTTGAGTAAATACGGTATATGTGTAAATAAAACCATATATCCTGAAAACATTGCAGTTTCTGCGGACCTTCATTTCAAGGAAGCTGAGCTTGGGGTAAATGCCTGGAACCCCCAGATTCTCTCTCCGCTGTGAGATTGGGGTGAATGCAACAATAATGAGTCACCCTGCACCCAAGACGGCATTGTTGGGTAAAGCTGAACCCCTGACAAATAGAGCAACCACAAAACTCGTACTCCAAACAGTATCACGAAGCAAGTTCTCAAACCCACCCAAGACTTTGTGGACTCAGGAAGACCTCAGGCACTTAGCACAAAAAGCAGGTGGCAATTGGGTGACGTGTAACAATATCATTATGCTTCCAAATTCTGCAGGGGCGACATCAGCCCCCACCATGGCACTGGAAGATATCCCTGTCTGTGGAGATGGGGTGTGATGGCCTGGGATTCGGAATCCCACCCTGCACAGGAGTCCCCGTCTCCAGAACCAGCTGAGCCGGGGCTGGGGCTTGAGCCCGAAGGGTCCTCACCTGTGCTGGATCCTCAGGTGCAGGCACCAGCTGAGTCTGCTCTGGCTCCTGAGGTGATGGAGGACCCACTGCCTGCAGGTGCTCCACTCTCAGCCCAGTCAGGGGAGGCTGAGGTTGCCTCTAGGTCCAGTAACCCTCCAGCCTCTCCTGAGCTGCAGAGGCTCAGGGCAGAGAGGCAGAGGGAACTAAGTTCCCGCAGGAGGAGTGCTCGCCTCCAGGCCAGGAAAGGCAAGTCACCAGAGGATCGGGGCCGCCCTGTGCCTCGGGACAGATAAAAGCCAGCCAGCCCCAGTCCCAAGTTGCGGGAGCAACATTGTTGGTAGCCTGTTCCTGCCTGCACCCTGTCCTGCCGGAACTCCTGACCTCACCCGACTCCCTGCCTTGGACCCAGCTTCAGCTTTGACGGACAGCCTCCATACCACACCATTGACCTTGGACTGGACTCGGACCTCGCCTCTCGGTTAGCCCCTGGGACCAGCACATGGGGTCTTGTCTGATGTGTTCCAAGAACTGCCTGTCCCGTCTGGCAGGGACTGCGCCCGCGTACATTTCCCAGCTAATGGAGTTTCTTTGTCTCTGTTGCAAAGAGTGCCAATCTCTGGAACGGTGCCTCCGGTTCCACCCCATTAGTCTCCTTTTCAACATGTTAGGGACAAAGAACGGAGCTTGTCCTCTCCCACTCGCTCGAAAGCCTCCCTGCGGAATTCCCTCCTCCCTTTCTCGGTCCAGCAGCTTCTTCTGCTTGCCATCACCAGCACACCGCCAGCCTCCAGCTCACTTTCTCCCATCTTGGGCCTTTGTAGCTATTTCTCGAGTGCTGAAATGCCTGCCAGGCATCTTTGCAGATGCTTGGAAATGTAAGTCCCAAAGCAGCATTTTCGGTAAATATAGATGTCAGGAGGTCAGGAATGCCCCCGATTTCCTTCACACACATACACACCCAAATAAGTATCCCAAATAAGAAATAGTTGGGGAATAATTTTTGCAAACCCTTAACAAAGGTCCATGACAACTTATCCAATATAAGCTTTGCCATTTCAAAATACCATAAACATCCATTTCTGTTTTAACTGACATTTTAATTAACCATTTCCAACTAAAGGCTCACCCAGACTTCCTTTTGAACTGTGTTTGTAGACACAAGTCCACATTTTGAAGCTCCATTTCTGAGCACTTTTTGGCCCCCGTACTTTCCTCATGTTAACCTGCTTCTAGCATCCGTGGAAAACCCAAATTTCCATTTGTTCTGATTCAGCACTAAAGAGCCAGTTTTCCAGCGGGATGCGGGGGCGGGGCACTGAGTTTTAAAGGGTGAGAAAGGGTGCATCTGTTCTGAGTCTGAATGCAGTTGAATATCACCCAGTGTCACAAATTCTTTATTTTTATTTTTGTTTGTAAGGAAATCTTACTCCAATTAATGCAAATCTTTCTTATTTAAAATGTTTCAGATCTGCATGGTATTGCAGCTTTTTAACTGACAGGTGATCCTGTGACAACTGCAGATCAGAAGATGCCCTCCCAATTCTGATTTGCAAACACGTTACAAATCACACCAAACTGGTATTTCAAAAAACCCAAATCCCATACGCACAACCACACACACTCGAAGCCGGGTCACATAACCAGCTGGGTCTGCTGCAAGTGGGCAGAGAAAGGGAGCAGCGTTGTGGCAGTCAGTCCTCCTTGACTTACAGACACAGAAAACCTCTGTGCAGAGTTCTATGTGCAAGAAGCATCTCTTTGTATGCAGATCCAAGTGTCTCCTCAACTGGTGCATCACCTAAGTGTGGAAAGCAGATAAAATCTTCTTTCGTCTTCTTTGGCGATCACTCATAGCCGAGTAAGATTGTCTTCCATAAACATGCTCTTAGCAATAAGTCCATAAGTGACTGTGGAGGCCAATTCTGGATCCTCACATCCTTCCACAGTGGGGACATTGGTTTCTGGACGGGAGTTGATCCCAGTGTGGATTTGCCAAGCGTGCCTTCCTCCTAGCACGTTTCTCCCTTGCGTCCTGAATTTGAGTGTCTTCAAAGCCCTTGACACCTTTGGTCAAGGCTGTTCTCCAACTGGAGCACTCACAGGCCAGTGTTTCCCAATTGTTGGTGTTAATACTACATTTTTTGAAATTTGCCTTGAGGCAGTCAGGGGCGGAGGAAGGGGTGTGTGGTGTGGGCGGTCTGCCCCGGGTGTCACCACTGAGGGGGGTGACAAAATGCTGGGTGGCACTCACTGCGGGCCTGCAGTGCGCCCAAGTCACGCATCTCTCCTGTGAATGACATGGTGGCTTGGGCGCCTGCAGGCTCTGCTCTGCCCAAACTGTCCGCCCACTGCCTCCCCCCCCCCCAGCTGTAGGGTGGCTAAGTGGGAGGAGGCAGGCAGACTCCTTGGAGGCCCCACGGAGCGTCCTGCCCCGGCTCGCCCTGCCCCATGGGTGGTTGGCCCCACCCCCACAGGCAGCTGGCCCCGCCCCTGGGCACAGGGCACACGCGCTGCCCCAGGCACCCAATTGGCTTGCTCCGCCACTGGAGACAATCTTTAAACCTCTTTTGTTGACCACCAGCATTACACTTTCCATTAAAATAAAGGTAAAGAGACCCCTGACCATTAGGGCCAGTCGCAGACGTCTCTGGGGTTGCGGTGCTCATCTCGCTTTATTGGCCGAGGGAGCCGGTGTTTGTCCACAGACAGCTTCCGGGTCATGTGGCCAACATGACAAAGCCACTTCTGGTGAACCAGAGCAGCGCATGGAAATGCCACTTACCTTCCCGCCGGAGTGGTACCTATTTATCTACCTGCACTTTGATGTGCTTTCAAACTGCTAGGTTGGCAGGAGCTGGGACAGAG